GCTCTAACTCAAGAAGTGACAAGTTTCTTTAAAACCACCAAGACCCAATTTCCGAAAAGTGTCAGCAGAACATTCAGGAATTTCTCTTCTCTGTTCCTCTTTTTGTAAATGGCTTGTAAACCGTCAGTTACCTGAGCAGTGATCCCTGTGCTCAGTTTACATGAACCTATAGTATTCTTTACTTGCAAGAAACTTCATTGGCATGACTGAATTAACAAGGGTCCACTGCACAAAGTGTTGGAACTGTGCTTCTTTCACTGACCCTCAGTCCATTATCGAAGATTCCAGTTTTACAGGTCTTGTTACCTGCTCAAGATTGGTGTGAGGGCCAAAAGGTACTTGAGGATGTTCTCCTCTGTTTTTGCTAAAACTTGTAGCTGAAGAATCATTTCAATTCAACAAATTCTTTACTCTTCTAGGTGAGTATAAAATCACATAGCATTATTACGTCACCCCAAAATGTAAACTAGACTGGTATGTTTATACATTGACTGCTACTTTTAGTGTTATTGCTTTATAAAGAGTTCCCTAAGGTGAGATAAGCTAGTAAGGATGCAAATGCTAACCCTATCAGCATAGCCTCCACAGCTCATATTTTCACACTCAACAGAGAAAAACATATCCTATGTAGTAGTATATACTATATATAGTGTTTTGTTTCATTTCATTAAAAAGTCTGACTAGAAGTTGAGCTAAATAGCAAGGAGCGTAGCTAATTAGCCAAATCAGATGCTTTAGAGTAGCATTAGTTGACCCAAAAAGCAATTTAGTTGTCATGTTAATTATGATAATTCCAGCTGCCTTAAGTAGGTGAACAATGAACTAGAACCATAAATTCTGTTGGTTCCCCTTTTGGTCAGTTCTTGTGTTTGAGTGTGTGGTAGAAAAATGGCCTTAGCTCCGTATGAGTAAAAAGTAGTTCTAAGCATAAACTGCAGCTAAAAAGCTAATTGGTGTGAAAACTGCATTATGCCTCTTTTAGAAATGAATATCTACTCAACATTGTTAGTGAAACAAGAAAAATGATAGTAACTTATTTTGTCGATGCTTGGAGCCTGACAGATGCTGCAGGACGGGTGGGACTGTTTTCCAGTCATTATTATATTTTTGGATCACATTGTTGACCAGCACATGTTTGTACTGCTTTGAGAAATATAGCCACTATATTATTGAAAGGAAATTAAAATTGGAGCTTCATTATATGACATTCACTAGTGACATTTTTGAGTAGATGCTGTTCAAGCTAAGCAAAGGGATTCAGATATGCTTCCAATTCATTAATAAGTAATGAAAAATGAATGACTTGCTATAGGAGAGTTTTGTTTGAGCAGGCCAAAAGCCAGTTCTTTGGTTTTTCCATAGGGCACTTGATTAGATTAGTTCTGGAAATAAATGGATTAGATTTTTGCATCTTTTAGCTACTCAGATGTGTCTAACTTGTGCAAAGTCTTTGTGTTCCAAAGTCATATGGCAGAAATGTCACCGAACTTCTGGTACAAGCCATTTTTTATCTATTGCATGTCATGCGGTGTAACCCTTGTTAGCGAGACAGTAATTATCCTATGAGTCAGTCAACATAACCTGCCTGGCCTCCGAATGAGCTGCCTTATTAAGTCCGCTGAGCTGCCCCGTACATGACACCTGATCTATGTAATATAAGGACGAGTCGTCGGCTGTGTTTTCATTATGTAAAACACGGCACAGGCCGCGGCGCTCTTAGCAGGGCGCTCACGTTTTAGCCGTTTGCTGGTACAGATGTGGGAGCTGAGCTTTTGAAAGGCAGCTCCTAGATTACTCCATCTCAGTGGCGTAGCCTCCAATATCAGGATTGTCTCCAGGCGCTTCCACGCTAGACGGCTTGTTTACTTCCATTTAGGAGTTTGTATATACAGTACGTGAAAAAGGGGAAAGACAGCTTGAATTCCAAGTAGGGCTGAATTATGGATGATGCCTCTAAGCTAACTCCGCCTGTTCAGGCTTAATGTTGAACATATATTTGCCGTATTCCTGCGGCGGCTGTAATTCCGTCTCTGCCGGATGGGACATGACACCATAGGTTGTTGCCGCATCGGGACGAGCGTCTGACATTCTACAATGTTCTCCCTGCTGAGTGGAATCACGTCTATGAGCGGTTAGCGTTCCAGTATGCTAGTCATTTCATTCCCTTTCACCACAATGACAAGAGCATCCGCCTTCAATGCTGTCTGAAGAATAGTGTCGTTTTTATTCCCTGTCACACTCTATTAGACGCCTCTAATACGTCTTCATTTAAACACGGCTCCAGACATTTTAATATAGTGTTATTTGAGGGCCGTGTTGGAACACCCTAAACACAAATTAGCTTGTCAGGCAGCAACTTAAGATGCTAACTTTCTAGTTTCAATTCATAATTATGTCCTTGCATGCAAAGGCAAGAGCAGATAAACAACTTTTGGCCGCCATCCCTTACTCGTGCTTGGTTTAATAAAAAGTTCCTTCTCTGCATTTTAATATACATTTTTATGTCATTAAAGACTGGATGTTTGACAAAGGCTTGCTGTATATTATAAAGAGCTTCTACAGTGTCTTAATTACTGTTGCTGGTGCTTTTGTTCTATTTCAGCTCGTGGTTCAACAAGTTTAAACCCGAGTTGGAGCGGTAGAGTGCTCCAGTGAATGGTAGAGCTGTGCGTTTTCAATGAAATGTGTAGTAGAATTCAGTGTGTAGTATGCTAGGGCACCAGTTGTATTGAAGGCATAGTTCAGTGGTTTCCAATGTGGTTTGTCAGGGTCCCCCAACGGTCCACATTTTTCCTATATCACTAAGTGTGGTGAGTTAGGTTGGAGCATCTGGTGGGACCATCCTTAATTTTTTTATTTTCCATTCAAAATGGCAACTAAGTACAAGTGATTAAAAAAACATTTAACAGGAAACACAAAACCCTCAACAACTAACTATTTCAGTTGCTCAGTGTCTAGCTTTTGCCTTTATTACAGCTTCCATTCTTTTTGTGAGACTTGCTTTCTGTTTTTCAAAAATTTTTGCATTGATATTGTTCCACACCTTCAAGGTTCAGTCTTAGAAGTTGGTTGCACTTCCTGTTTCTCATGATTCAAGTAATCCCAATGATAAATTTAGTCTAATCAGTACATAAAACCTTAGTCCACATCTCTCTTATATCCAGTTTTTTGAGTTCTAGTCGCAGTTTTCTTCCGTTTCCTATTTTCTTTTCTCAGTAAGATCTTCTTGACAGCTACGCATCCTTTCAGACTCATAGCTTTGTCTTCTCGCAGTGGAAGGATGGACAGAAACATTGAAGTAAGAGTGGAGCTTGTTTTTCTCCTCTCTCTCAAAAATGAAAGCTTTTGTTGCTGTTTATCTGAAGGGGTCAGTTTTGGTGGTCTGCTAGGCCAGGGCACAATTGCTAGGTTCTTTTAAAATTATTTTGAACTGATTTTGGCTGTTTGGCTCCTGGTTACTTATTTTCCTTTAACTTTCCCATTTCTTGTATAAATGGCTGTTCTGCCTGGAAATTTAAATGAAGGGTGGGTTCTGACTTTTTACTCATTTGTGTTCATTTTCCCCTTCACCACAAATGTCTGTCTGACATTTGTTTCTGTAGTTTTGGACTGGGGCTATGATGCTAATGTAGAAGTAATGGAAAATTATAGCCACTCATTAGCATTGTGCAAACTGCATAATGTGATCTTAAACTGGCTTGCTTATGAGGCTTCTGACATACTGTAATCTGTACAAATGGTTAAAGATATGTAGCGCAGCTAAAAGCAAAGGTCGCAGCTATCTTGAGGTCTGTTTGAGATTATGTACCAACACAGTGTGGTTTGTAATGTAGTATGCTAACTGGTGCATAGCCTTCCATTACTTAGATAACTTAGCCCACTAGCACCAGCACTAAACTAAAGAAGCAGACTTCAGACACCAAACATGTCTTGGCTAATCAATTACTTTTAAAGGAAGGGGGTCATTTTTTTGACCACATATTTCTGTTTTTGTGTTGTCGTTTTTCACTGTAGGGTCCTACTTTATTGCAAGTGTTCATCATTGATGTCCACAGTTTAGTAAAATGGCCCATTGACCATCCAGTTTTTTGTCTGTCACTGCCTGCCTGAGGAGTTGACTTGAAAAGCATATTCAGCATATTCAGAAGAATCATGGAATCCTCGTTTCTGAGAAGGGTTGAATGATGTGACCAAAGGGAATTTGTGATAGGATTACTCTATGGTTAGAATAAGGAAGCACATGAAAGTGTTCCACCTGAAGTTCTTCTTCCTAAACTAACTTGGCTTCGGGCCTTTCTCTCATTGTAGTGGCATATAATGTCACACAGCTTTACAGCCATGAAAACAAGCTCAGAATAAGAATAAAAACAAAAAGTTCATGTCTTCATAGTTTCTGTTCTTTTTTGTAAATTAACAAACAAAAAATATGATTTTTTTATTTTAGTGATTTGTAGTCATATTGTACATAAAAGAAAAAAATTTACAGCAGTGACTTTGCAGATGCTAAAGTATTGTTTTTATTTAAAACAACAATTTTGATGTTTTTTCCCAGATTTTTGAGATTTTTTGATAATTTTTTTTTGTCAGTGGTGCTACAGAAACCTAAAATGTCATTTTTATTATATCTCAGAAGAAGAAAACCTACGGCTATTGGAATCGCTCTTTATATTTCTGATGAATTAAGCTAAATGCCAGCTTCATGTGACTGTGTTGGTGATAAGACTTTGTTATTTTCATTTTAAACATGAAATAAAATAACAACTTGAATGCAGTATTTGTAATTCCTGACAAAAAGACCTAAAGTGCCTATAGACTATTTTAGAAAAGCTCAGATTTTAGTCATTTTGTCAGTGGTGTTCCAGTCAGTGGTGTTACAACTTTCTCGATGTTCTTCAGTATAACATTCTACATTTTACACTCGAATTGCTTATCAACGCTTGTACCCTGTTTGCCGCTGCAATGGTAGACTGACCCTCCTAATCTGTGTTCCCTGCTTACAGATGCTACCGTATTGAGCTACGACGGCAGTAAGTTTATGAAGATCCAGCTGCCGGTGGCCATGCACACCGAGGCCGAGGACGTGACGCTGAGGTTTCGGTCACAGAGGGCCTATGGCGTTCTCATGGCAACCACATCCCGGGACTCAGCCGATACCCTGCGACTGGAGCTGGACACTGGACGTGTCCGTTTAACTATTAATCTAGGTATAGACATTTAGCCATAACTTTCAACACATATAGTTGATTATGCACAAATACAAAGATTAGATTCTACCTACATTCTAGAAGAGCACACATCTATACTGACCTCCATCAAATCTCACATACTGATGTCATACTGTCCTTCACCTAAATACCATAGACTTAATCATGGGACGTCTCAAAACCTGTTGAGCTGCTTTGCTACTTGGTGCCTATATAGGCAGCTAAATCAGAATTTAAAGGAATATTCCAGCATTTTTCAACCTAATCTCTAATATACTGCATCTGTATCGCTCTAGCAATTACCACAGACAATAATTTCAATGCACTTGAAAAAGGACAACAAGCCTGTTGGGCTATAGAAACCTTGGGGGAAAAGGAGGCTGAATTCTATAAATGAACAGTTAAAATATGTTATTATATAAACTAAATTTAAAACGACAACTGTTACACTCAAACAGTTCAGATCATAGGATATGACAGAGTTGAGAGAATGTCTCCACTAGAACAGCACAGTAAATTAGCAGTTCCAGTTACTTTCGCTTTATTTAGGTTATTCTATCCACGCTCAATCAGACGGAGCCTTTTAAAGCTCCACCCACACTGCTACACTAGAAACAAATTACCACTAATCCTTCCCTCTGACAAACTAATCCTACCACTGAAATAATACAAATAATAAAGATTAACTACTTAATTGACATTTACCTTTGACTGAAGAATTTCTGAAAGTCTACTACAATGTTTTTCATAAGCGATCTGCATCAGCCCATCTATTCCAAGAGTGTTTAAATCAAACCAGTTTTATGTTCTTTTCTAATACAAAGAGTGAGAAAAGTGTCAAAATTATTGTCCATGGTTATCGACAATACTAGAGAGGCAGCAGATGAAGATTAGGTTGATTGAGTATTCCTGCATAACCAGAGGCAAAGTAAAATAAAATTATGTATAATGCATTATAGAGTATCCCAGGTAATAGTAGTAACAAATAAAATAAAACGGACAAAAGACTACTTCAGGTGATAGTAGTTACAAATGCATAAAATAAAATTAAATTAAAGAATGTCTCAGGTGATAAAAAACCTTGAGTTAAATAAAATAGATTTAAATAAATGATATAGTATCTCAGATGAAAATAGTTATAAATAAAATACAATAAAATAAAATAGATGATATAGTATCTCAGGTGATAGTAGTTATAAATAAAAATAATAATATTAATAATAATAACCAGGATGGCATCTTGTATTTTGTATGTTCTGTTAAGTATGTCCCTTTGGACTGGTAATTGGTTCTAGACAGACTAAATTGGATTTAAACAGAATGGAACCTCGCAAGGCACAATATTTCACTCAGAGAAGCGCGTCAGAATTGTGCATTTTGCCAGAGTGCTGAGCCAGATCAGACGTGACTAACAGAGATCGACAGTAGCAGTCATTGTTTTGAGCAGTCTGAGTACAGCCAGTACTGCACTGACAAGAAGAAAAGAAACAGTTCGTGACATAGTCTGAAAAATGATCATGCTCTTTGAGTGTTTATATGTTGAGAACTGGAGAAAGCACACATTCCTCCTCCACTTGCTGATCAAAGGCTTACTGGGCTGAGTGTGGGGGTGAGGACAGCACTGCATGCTGGGAAAGCTGTTCTATATGTCAGGGTGTTGCATATCTCTCAAGTGGCCAAACGTTATGAGAGTCTGCGTTTATGTCAGTTAACTACGTTTCCCCGTGTCTCTCATGTCCAAGCGAGTCTTTTCCATAAATTCCAAATGCTAATTAAATGGCATCATTTTGGCTGTAATATTGCTTACAGTCATACATGCGATCTGATGTGTTTCACTCACCCAAACCCAGAGCGCATACTAACACTCTCCCACACTAATGAATGCCAGCGGCACGCAGCTCTGAGTTCTGTCCCTTCCACTAATTAGACAAAATTCATATTAATCCTCCAACGTCAGTCCTCTCCCATATGCTGCTGCAGCCGAGAGGCTGTGATCGATAACCACACTTCAGCACGCTGCCTAAACCGCCAACGGTCTGCAACCGCGTCAACTCTAAAGAAGTCACTCCTAGGCCACGTTCTGTGGGCCCACGTTGAAAACTGTGCGCATTGTTAGCCTGTCTCATTACAGGATATGAAAGCAAATAACAACCACCTACTTAATATTGTCTTATTTATCAAATAAAATTCTGTTGATTTTGGAGATTCTCATTAAAATATACCAAAATGGATAACAAACACCTACCTAATACTGTGGTATTTATTTTTTAAATAAATTTCTGTTGACTTTACGTATTCTCATTAAAATATGCAAAAGAGAATTATAACTACCTACATAATATCATTTTACTTATGACCTCATTTTTGTTTTATTCAGATGTTCTAATCACAAAATATGAAGTAGATAATGAAAATGAATATCTGTGTAATGCTGTTTATTTTTTTTAATCTTTTATTTTTAGATATCCTCGTTACAGTGAACAAAAGTCAGTAACAAGCACTTTTGCGATATTTTGTTATTTATTAAATAAATTATTTTGTTTATTTTAGATGTTTCCCCTTATAACATCTAAAACTGGATAACAGGCAGCTGTGTAACAGTATTATTTATTAAATAGAATTCTGTTGATTTTAGATATACAAAAGTGCATATTAACCCCCTACATAATATTGGGGTATTTACTATTTTTTTAGTTTTTTTACTTTTAGATATTCTCATTCCAACAGATATAAAAGTGCAGAAGAAACACTTATGTAAAATTTTGTTATTTCTTTTAACAAAATTCTACTGACCTTACTTACGTATTCTTATAACAATATATAAAGGTTGATATAAAATTGCATTAATTTTAGATATTCCTATTACAGTACACAAAAATAATGAACACATACACAAAATTGTCATATATTAAATTAAACTATAATAATTTTAGATATTCTAATATACAAATATGAATATTGACCACCTACATAACACTGTGCTATTTATTAAATGAACGTCTGATCATTTTAGATGTTGTAATTGAAATATACAAAAGGGGATTATGAACACCTTTGTACTATTGTGTTAGTTATTAAATAAAGTCTGTTGGTTTTAGATATTTTTATTACAATGTAGAACAGTGGATAATGAACACCTAAGTAATTTGTTACTTATTAAATGGAATTCTGTTGATTTGAAATATTTTCATAACAATATACAAATGTGAATATTGACCACCTATATAATATTGTGCAACAAACAACACATGAAAACAAAAAATAATAAACAATTGTGTTTTTTGTGTAAGAAAAATTATGGAGTAATCAACTTCATCACAGTATACAAACAGGGGTAATGAACAGCTTTGTAATATTATTTATTAAATAATCTGTTGATTTTAGATATTTGTATTAAAATATACAAAAGTGGATAACAAACATTGATGGAATGATGTGATTTATTAATAAACATATGCTAATTAGTAGGCTTTGCCTTAGAAGCTGAAAATACTGTAACTGTGTTATTAATAAAACTCTGATGACGTTAGATATTCTGATTACGGTGCACTGAAGTGAATAGCATTGTTATCTTGGTAATTATTATCATTTGTCTTAGTAACATATACAAAGTGGATAATGAACACCTACATGATAGCAGAACGTCCAGATGTCCGGCAGGGTTGTAACGCAAGGCAGCTCAGTCAGGTTTGAGATACTTAGTCCCACATGCAATCTGCTTCTTCCACAGTCTATTTCAAAACAGACACACACACACACGCGCACGCACGCACGCGCACACACAAATACACACACACAAACACAAACTTTTACTACTGTGTTTAATAGAGGGGAGATGGCCCCGAGTGCTTCAATGGCCGAAGTCTGCAACTCTTCACTTACTGCCAAAAGAGCATGGCAGCACTTTCCCTCTGGAGAGAACGCTCAGTCTTAAACTCGCTATTAACTTCATGTCTGTCATCAGAATCCCTCTACTCCTTAAAGAGGTAATTTGGTCAAAAATCTAATTTACACAATATTATCCTTTGCCCAGATGTGGTCCATCAGCCAAGACATATGTAGTGCTCAGTTCCATCCATCAGCTCCACCCACAGGTAGAGTCAGTTGTGCGTCGTGCCCTTTTTCTTTTGGAGGCTTTTTAGAAGTGAGTCATGTCAGCACTGAGTTCTGAGGTTTTCTTTCAAAATTTTTTTAAAGCTTTCAGAAATTTCATTCTTTTTTTGCATTCATTTTGCAACCCAAAATAATTTAAACCGCAGACAAAACATAAAGAGAGCGGCTCGTCTAGCTTTAAAAATTTTTTTAAAGCTTTCAGAAATTTTTTCATAGGCTGTCTTAAGTAATAAAGGCACTAAATCAGACACTGTGAGCAACGTCACATTAAAGCATTCTAAGACTCTGCTGCCTTCATTTGCTGTCAGAATGATTGCCTAAAAGTAGCAGATTCTTCAAGTGGACTGTTCAGGAAAAAAAATGATCTCACAGCTTATTTTTGGACATTTTTTTCTTGTTTTAAGGGATTTTATCTATAGAAATATTCATATTTTGTTGAAAGAATAATGCCTAAAACAAGCAAAATTAAAAAAAAATGTAATTTCACTTACAAAATTAAGATTACGTTAAACAAGAAAAAAATCTTATCTAATAATCTTATAACAATCTTGTGATTTTACAACAATACAGCATTCTCAAAGTGAGAAATTGTAGATTCATCATGGCAGTGGAAACATTTTTACTTGTCAGTGATGGCTAACCTTTTATCCTTTACTTTTTTATAACTTTTAGTACTCACCAATTAGGTCATTTGCTGTTATTAGCTTATGTCTAACTGTTTCTTATATTATGTACATATTTACACTGAAGGGATGTATTAGGTAGATATCAAAAGAGCTCACACTGGCCAACTAGCTAAGCAGGTTTCTGACTTCAAATCAAATATGGTTTATAATTGCACTGTCTGACATGCATGTGAAGGCTGCATTGCTTACAAACAAGGAATT